ACCTAAAGACACCAGTGGACCTAAAGACACCAGATTGAACAGTGGACCACATCTCAGACTGACCCAGAGGTACTCACACAGGCGTCCTGCTGGAGGTTCTGTAGGAAGTTCTTAGCAGGCAGCAGGAAGTGGATCAGGTAGCGGAGGCCGTCTCCTCGGTAGCAGCGCTCCACCACACTGAGGACCTGACAGAGGACAGTGGGAGACGTGAGCTGGAAGGGCGGGTAGAGGGAGGCCAGAGCCGTCTGGATGCAGCGGTCCAAAGACTCAGAGTCCTGCAGAGCAAACAGAGTCAAGATTATGTCTCAGGTTTTCGTTTCACGAGTCACAGCGATAAGGTCGGCATGAAAGTAAAATACCATTTAACGAATGTAACAGCACGTGAAATATAGCTGTAGCTGTAATAATACAGTTTACAACTGAAGTCAGCCAAGAAAGCTCCTGTCAGCTGAAGCCTATCGCAGTCAAATGTCTGGGAAGCTGTCGGTGTGGTGAATGTTCCAGCGCTGCATTGTGGGAAACCTCAGAGGAGGCTGACAGGTCACATTCATACCCAAGGCTTTTTCTAAAGCAAAAGAACATCTGGGCAATTTGGCAAACTGCATAACTTGACTTTATTTGTGTACCACACATTATATTTAGTCTAACTCACAGTGCTGGTGTAGCAGGAGGAGGAGAACCTGAGCAGCTGAACCTCTGAGCTTAGAACACAGAACCTGTCTGTGTCCAGAAACACCTGCTTCACAGAACAGAGATCCCATAAACACCAGAACCACCGTCAGACCTGGTCAGATCATTTATCAGATCCAGTGTGTGAGGCCTGTATGAGTCTTTCAGACATCAGGGGTCGCCCTGGGCCCTGGAGGTCTGGACCAGAGGCTCCGTCTGCAGCAGTAACTGGATCCACTGGTCTGGAGGCAGCAGACACTGGTCAGGTAAAAATATCCTGGTGTGGCTCCAGTATGATCTGTTCAACACGTGTGTGATGCCTGAAGAGTTTCTCTGTTGGTCTGCTCACCAGTCTTTGATCTGAGAGGTTAACCTCCCCGACAGACTGCAGCTCCACCCAAACTGTCAGCTGTTTACTGTCAACACGCTGCTGTTCCTCCAGCCGAGACACACACCGTCTAACCACCACCGCATCAACACCATCCACTGAGAACACAGCATTTAAACCGACAGCACCGGTGGTGTTCAGGTTAGCCGGTGTTCACGTTAACCGGTGTTCAGGTTAACCGGTGTTCAGGTTAACCGGTGTCCAGGTTAACCGGTGTTCCAGGTTAACTGGTGT